GTTTCAAGTTAAATATTCTTTGTGGATGGGATTTTAAAAATATTTTAAAACTTTCTAGGTTTGTGGAACACGGAGAATACAAAGAAAATCTGTATGGTACAAGTCTTGAGGCAATCCGGTCCGTGATGGCAAAAAAGAAGGTTTGTTTGGTGGATGTGGTACCCGAAGTAAGTTCTGCAGCTTATTTTAAAGAAAGCAAGTATTTCTTATTAGGCTGCCAGTCTGAGTAACTGATGTTGGTCACCATTGGTGGCTACTTGCCCTGCAAGTGTTTCTAACAGGTGGCCTGGCTGCTCGCTAAGTAGAATAGGGCTCTTCAGAAAGCTGTGCAGTGTTTACAGTTCCTAGATGTCTAGCTGCTACAGCCTAGATGACAGTCAGTTGTCACTCTGTGATTTTTCCCTTGCTGTAGGAGAAATGTGCATCACTGTCCTAGCCTGCTTAAGTCCTAGAGAATAATTAGAGCATGAATGAGTTTTTCATTCTTGTTCCTTCCTATTGCCTCTGAAGCATTAGTAGCATTGTAACCAGTGCCAGTATACCTGCTCTTAATCCCTCCATATTGGGAGTTAATCTTTGAAATTTTGATTCAGATTTTGTAACTGGGCTAGGAAAAGACTTGTAATACTACCTCAGATGAATTCAAGGTTTAAACTTTCCAGTGTTTGGCCTTTTAAATGAAGCAAACCATAACTTGCCTATCAAGTAATTTTATTTTTCTTTAAATACTTTTCTCCAGTATCTTTTGCCATGTCCTTGTTCCTGGTATTGCAATGCATAGCAAGGTAGGTGTGAAGTTAGACCGTACTCCAGGAAGCTTGTGTACTCTTGTGAGCTAGCCAGGACACTGACATTAACCTTTCTTTTGAAAAGCAAAAGGTTACTGTGGTCAGATGTATAGTATACTGGACTTCACACCACAGTGTGTACTAGTGAAACTGTTGAACCAAGCTTGAGCAGATCATTGACATACAACAAAAAAAACAAAATTAAAAAATGGTGTAACAGAAAACATCTGTTCACAGGCAGTAAAGCACTTGAGGACTCCTGAGTTTAAGCCTTACGTTATTTTTGTGAAGCCTCTCATTCCAGAAAAGAAAAAACATGTCCTAAAATCTCCCATGTCAGAAGAAATCTCAGCCGCCCTTGTAAGTATTCTAACTCTAATCTCTTCTTTTTAGACATGAAAGAAGTATTTGGGCTAGCATTTCTACAATACAGAAGAGCTCCTCTTCCGTGCCAGCAAGAGTCAGAGTGGGGCACTAAGTGGGTCCTGTGCATATACAGCCTTTCAACTGGAAGTTTAGAATGAGACTTGACTCCCTTAAAACTTGACTATATAAGTAACATGAACCAAAATTTCCTTTCAAAGTAATAACTTGTTGTGCTAATATACTTTAAAATGCTAGTAATTAAAAAGACATGCAGTAAATTTTATACCATCTTCTTGTGTTGATCAGCAGGATGAAGAACAGCAGGAAATTATTAATTCAGCGGCATTCATTGAAGAGCAGTATGGCCATTTAATTGACACTGTACTGGTGAAAGAAGATCTCCAGAGTGCATGTAATCAGCTGAAAACTGTGTTAGAGAAACTAAACAAGGATTCATTTTGGGTGCCAGTCAACTGGGTTAGGTCATAGCTTGTTATCATCTCTTTAAGGGAAA